AGCTACGTTTATGACTAATGAGCCGAGCTGGCACGTAACTACCAGACAGTAACAACACTGCATGCATTCAATGAAAGAGTGGCAATTTAGCGACGCTGATTTCATGGGAATCAATGAATGCAACAGGCATTATATTACGCGTAAATCATTTATCAATTTATTAATCAGTGTCTTAGAAGGCAATCATTAAACGGAGGAAAATGCATACTTTATATATTGGTACATAAACTACCCATATTTATCTATACATGTAATGAGACTTCTGTCAGTTGATGATGTATTCACACTTTGTAAATTTGTGAAATATCACTCCCAGAAAAAGCTAAAAACATTTAATGTGTAAAAATGATAATGTTTTTGCTGAATAATATAAAATGTTAAAAGTAGATATCCTGCCTCATCTTTCCAAAAATTTCATTTTGGGAGAGGGGGGGGGGGTTCTTAACCCGAGATAAATATACCTACATGTATAATGTATTTTATTATACATTTGTCACCGTAATGCCATAAGTTACAGCTTGTCGAAATTTTGCGGTACCGGTATTTTACAGGGTACTTTCATCCTACTATATAAGGAAATGCAAATTCCAAATATGGAGTGATAACGTGCGTAAGCGTCCTCTAATAATGAAAAACAAACATGGCTGCACATACAAAAAAGTTCGCTTATTCTGTTCTAAATTTTTTGTGTTTCGGCATTCCCATGTATCCTTGGAAGGAAAAGATGTATAATAATAAGGTTATTACGAGGATACCTCAAAGTACGCTTTCAGACAGTACGCTGTCGTATCGACCTCCGCTGTGCGTTGGTTGATACTCACGATGTACGCTTCGTAATAACCTCATAATATATATATAAAATGGTAGTAGTTAATCTTAGGCTATATATACATTATATTTATCGGTCCTAGCAGCTTTCACCTATTTTTAAATTTTACCTACAATAAAACCGACTTTCAAAGACAAACTCAATGAATTTCTATTGTTTACAAATCAAACTTGATTTAAGAAACACGCTTAATTTCATATTCTGCAGTTAATTTTTCATCAGCTATCAACATTCTTAAAAAATTTATAATATTGGTTAGTAGATAGTACCCCTTGGATTTTGCAAAGTGGGAATGCCTTTAATTGACTAGACATAATTTTAACTGGGTAATTCTGAAGATGGTGAAATTAAACCAACATCATCACGTTCTATTCAACATACATCTCTGCTTGTATAAGATATACCACAATATGGTATGCGGTTGAGATATGTGAGCAATACAGTAGGATCTTATTAGTCAAATAGTTGAATCAAACCATTAGGTTACATATTAATAAATAACACAGAGGGAGATACGCAGTGTAATGAAAAGGTAAACAAACCAATGAAGATGGGTAACAGTATATACTATGATATAAACATCATAGGATATCACAGTGTCATCAGCTGTCGGTTTGTTTTTTTGCAAAATCTTTCAGCTGTGTTTTTTTTTTTTTTAGAAACCTTTTATAATCTATGAAACATTGAACCGAAAATGGCCTGTATGATAGCAAATGAACTCACAATGTTAGGATGGTCATGCTTTGCATATGTAAACAGCCTGTACATGTACAGTGTAGACAGCTGGAAAATATTCTTGATATGATTATGAATATAAGTCATGACATATCACCATGTGAGAGCCCTGCTCCTCCGCTGTAAACAGAAAGAGCAACGATACTCCTGACAAATTTAGATAAATGAACAAAATCTGTTGTACAATTATACACAGTCCCTCTATCTGTTATAAAAGTCACACAGACAGAGGTAATCGGTATTCCTGACAAACCTAGCTCTCTGCAATAGACCAAAGATGTGATGTGCGTCTTACTTTAGACTAAATATCTTTGTAAGACTATTTTGTATCAAAATTAAAATTAAAAATGGTCAAAAACTGTCCTTTATGTACCGGTACTACTAATTTTTTAGTACATGTATAGTGCATATTTTACATTAACAAGGACCCCCCCTCCCCCCACTGTTTTACCGTATTCAGTGACAAAAACATATACAAATTATATGTTACTCTGATTACACTAATGTTTCAGATAATGGGCTGAGGTTCATTTTTTTTAAATATAATTATAAAATTAAACAATCTACAGAATACAATACTAGATGCTGAAAACAATACAAAATACTTATTTGGTGGCATGAAGACTTTTTTTTATAATTGAATCAAAGAAAAAAATTAAGTATAGTCTTATAATAAAGTTCATCATTATTATTACTATAATTATTATTATTAAATTATTTTTTAATAATTATTATTATGATACATCTGACATAAATTACAGTGTGCCGTATTTTATGGGGTATTTTCATCCTACCATATAAGGAAATGCGAATTCCAAATATGGAATTATCACGCACGTAAGTGTTCTCTAATACCTAATAGAAACAAACATGGCTGCCACCAGGGTTTGACCGGACTCCACACAAAGAAGTTTGCTGATTCTGGATTTCGGCATTCCCATGCTGTATTATTAGGCCGAAAAGATGTATAATAATAAGATTATTACAAAGGATACCACAAAGTATGCACTTAGACAGTACGCCATCGCATCGACCTCCACTGAGAGCAGGTCTATACTCTGGTTGTACTGTCTTCGTGCATACTTTTCAGTATCTTCGTAATAACCTCATAATATTACAGTTAACAGTGTTCTCAGGTAGAGTAGCACGAAACGACTCCATACGATTCACGTATTCCAATAATACACCTGTACAATGCACAGACAATCGCATTTAAGTATCAAACGCAGGTGTCTCATTCTAATAACAAAGAACACAATTTAATAGCCAAATCCCAACAATAGAGCATATCAAGATGCATTGGAAAATCCACACCATAATAAACAATGTGTATGTACTGAAGCTATCAACCCTTGATGTCTGTGCATTATTTAGCCAGCATGCAACTAGATCAATATAGAAGCTGTATGAATTACTATACAAATGATGTTAATAAAAACATGCATTCATTCAGGAAACTGTATGATTATTACACTATGTCAACAGAGCACTTAATTACCACGTAAAAGCTCTACCGGGCAATTTGAATGATCATTTCCACTTCCGTGCATTATAAAACCTAATGCGTAATGAAAAAGATTGTTTGGGGGAAGCAAATCCAACGTGCGCTGATGGTAGCTACCGGTAGATCACGGGCATGGCCATCCGCAACTGTGAATACACATACACAGCGGGGTAAAATAAATATGACAATGTTGGGTGGAAAGACATTAAGTCTTGCGCTACACTACATGTATTAACAATTTTACTATCAATTTATGTGGCAATGAGGACAGGCTGTTTAAATACAGCACTATTTGAAACAAAATATTTATTTTATTGAAATATGCCTTTTTTCATTCTCAAATGTTTCTTTTATTTAATTCTGTATTTTTTTTTGACTCATTTTTAGCCCATCTACCCCCATCTTCTTGAATACACAGAATTGGTCTTACTCTATAATTTGTTGCATGCAAGATAGGAAAAACACCAGCATTTATCTGTGATTAAAAAAATAGCTGCGCTCAAGGTTGAGAGTATTTCAAGTGGCTTTGAGTTAAATTTTAAACAGTGAGTGTCCACTACAGTATGCAATGTTGATATTGCAGAAAAGAACTATGAAAAATGAGAAAAAGAAGGAATTTAAATTAACATTTGTTTATTATTATAAGATGATTTGATACAGCTGTCCGAAAATATTTCTATTCATGTTTTATTGATTTAACCGGATACCAAAAAATGGTTGACAAAATACTAGTATTGCACATTCATTGAATAGAATGACCAGCCACAGCAACCCACGAAGCACTGCGATTTTGTGACCTCAGGATATTTGATCCTCTGAAACTTGAATTCGAATTAAGAAATATAAGCGTATTTTTCTATTAGTAGTACATCCACTCCCATACATGACAGAGGAGTGTCTATAAGTCAAAATAAATCATATTTGAGTGACTGGGCATACAGAAATGTAATTGTTAGCTTACATGCCCTTCTATTTGAGATGTTTTTATTATAATACAGTATATACAGCAAATGCAGTATTTACATTGTCTCCTGAGGGAATACTCACAACCAAGTGGGTGGACAATGTACTTTAAAAAATTAATTGGGAGGTTCCACATATAATGGATCTTTTCTAAAAGTTGAGTATGCAGGACATCTGTGTGTTTTTTTGGGGGGTGAGGAGGGATAGAGTGAAGGAGGTTGAATCAATTCCTCCTTCCTACCACGATTTCATAGTTTTCACAATATATATACAATGTAAATTAGGTGATTTTGAAGACCAGTTTTAGGAATTATTTTCCCTGATTAATCCTAAATATTGACAGTATCTGGAGATGAAGGTTGAATTGGTACATTACCAGGATAATTCAACAAAAAACATCAAAACATTGTTGGTGGTGGTGGTAATAGTTGCGTTATTTTTTTTTTTTCAATTTTCATATGTATAGGGTAATCAAAATAATCATTAAAAATCATTGAAAAAAATATTAAATTAAACATCAGCTCAGCCACTCCAGTTGCTAACATGCATTTTGGTTATGATTGCTTTAATTCCTTTAAATTTCAAAATACTTATATATTTAATAATTTTTTTTTTGTGCTTTTTTTGCAGCTGAGTAGGGAACATTTGATTCAATCTTGCTGTGCAGATAAAATGCCGGATTTCATGAGATCTCACAATTTATCTCCCTAGTTACAGTACCTTATCTTATCCATGGTGATATGTATTTATAAGTATATAATTACCAGTCCATACTGGGAAACAATGTGTTGTATCCGTACAGGATACAATATCCTGTTCAAAAAACCCTAGTACTATGAAGACAACAATTAATTTAATACATATGTGTAAATAAATCAAGTAGGGTTAATCATTTTAATCAAAAAAATCTGAACCGAATTGGGATTTATCTGTTAATTCAGATTGATAAGGTATTTAAATGACACTTGCCTGTTTCCATAGAAACCAGTCGCCGCTGTTATTTGCTGCTGCACAAACAATATGAAAGAGTGCAAGACAGCACCCGCCTAGGACCGCTAGCCTCATCCTCACGGGCAGTAACGTGTAGATCATGTAGATAAAGAAGATGGTACACCAAACAGCAGCTGTAGCCGAAGATGGCACCGCAGACAGCACAGCAACCAGTATAATAATACACAGGAGAATGATTATTATGTAACAGACGATACTGAGTTGTCGCTGAGAAAAGCCGCTGCGATTACAAAAAAACTGCAGCCCAACAAGGAATATGAAGAAAACTCCGAGAATAACTCCTCTAACCCATGAAGTGTTCCCAGGGCCATAGTAGAAAATTATCATCACAATACAAACAAGAGCTATTAAGCCAATTAGGCACATCAAGCTGCTTTTGTTCAGGCTGAAAAAATATCTTTGATATAAACGTTCAAGTTTTTCTGATTTGAATTTTTTAGATCTGAACACCTTGGAGAATTCCCTCAACGAGTCTGTACATGTTCCCTCATTGTTAAGAATCGACTCTGCATCTCTGTCCTTTTTCTCTTCCAGTTCCACAGACTTCAACCTAATATCACCGTTTTTTGATCGACCATTTTTTATCTCAGGCCTGGCTCCCCTCGATAGTCGGGTCCGAACAGTGGGTTCCGGGTTCTCTGCCTCTTTTTCCCAGGCGGATTTGCGTGACCGAGAGCTCAGAATAGACGTTGCACTAGCAGGTCTCGACGATGTCAAATTTGGTTCTCCCTTATTTTTGTTGTCTACGTTCAGTTTTGTATTACTTGAGTCAACATTCTGTTGCTGTTGTTGTTGCTGCTGTTCCTGTTGTTGTGCACCTGGGTTGCTGTCCTCCCATGCAGATTTACGACTCCTTGTCGAGCCCGCCGAATCGGGTGGTGTGTTATCAGCTCTCGTCGTGGACATCTTCAATAGCTGTTGTATAGTAAAATATTGAAAATAAAAGTATAAATAAATAAATATAAAAGACCTGAGTAGTGTTCAAATATGACAAAGATAATACAATTGGGGGCATGTCTTACATCGGCGTTATTGTACAATGACGATGTATAGTTACTGTTCTATATTTGGAGTGTATCGTACCTAATAGGGTCGAAACAGACATACACCACGATACACTGTTCTTATATAAACAAATTTCATAGACAACCCCGCATTACAGGCCACACGACCAGCCGCACTGCGCGAGAACGGTGGCTCTGCGACTAAACGGCGATTGTATGACTACGATCATGGTCGACCTTCATCATAGCGAAAATCATCGCGCATACAGCCCGAGCAAACAGAGCCTACACGATTTCACCATTGAAAAATCAATAAAAATTACGAGTGTGAGATAACGTAAGAATATACCTACGGTCTGAGAAATATCTGCTTGAGCTTGGATATCATCAAAAATGAAGATGGAACTTAAGATTCGGCGACTGCCGGTGAAACAATCTTAACCCGCGGTGCGACGATACACAGCAGCAATGACGGGAAACACCGACATTAAACACACACAATCAGGTTCTTACAGCTCACTATATCTGATTTACATTCTCTAGCATGCGGTGGGTGCTTGCGACAAATGAATTAATACATCCACGCGGAATATTATGATGGAATCTGAAAATCTAATGTCTGCTGATTTGTTTTTCTCGCGTCCTGCTTGCCACATTGATCATCGTTATTGCTATTCATGTTCTCGGGCGTTTTACCGGTCATAAAAATCCAATTGGCTGATTGGTCCATATGCCACTGGCTGTTATTTATACTGTCGGACACCCCAGATACAGTTCCGCAATTTTTTCAAGACTTCTTTTGGTAGATATGAATTGGCGACGTATTTGACTGCAGTTTTATTTTGAACTGCAAATAAATTGAATTAATCGTTTGTTTGATTGCTTTTCATCACGCTTTGTTTTATAGTAATGTTTGTAAGTAATCGTAAGTCCATGTGAAAATCATAATGTAATGTATTTATACCATGCAAGTAGCTCGCCGAAGTATTAGGAACATTGCTTCCCTCATTATGCAAACTTCTATATCACCTACTTATTTACTGTTTGTTGTATTATAATCGTACTAAAGCAATTCTGTTCAATAAGTCGCCAAGGTTGTTACTTTTGAAAGGCGGTGGTCGTCGCGCAGCGCGTGTACGCATTTCGTGTAAACAATGTATTTTACATGCGTTGTATAAGTCGCTATAAGTCCCATATCGAACAGAATGCGGCGCGACGACCATCGCCCTTTAAACTGGACATCGTGAATCACATCGTGTGGGGGTGAGTACAATTTTGTAAGTCGGGAGAATCTTGCTCGCCAAATCAATTTGAAATGAAAGAAATCTTAGAAAGAACTCGCGTGTGCCGATTGGAGGCATAGTTAATATTCATTCAAAATGTAATATTAGCCTTTCAAAGAAGAAGCCTGGCGACTAACAATGGTCTGCTATTTGAGATGCACAAAATGAAAACAATGTGAACCACATCATTGAAGTTTATAATACTAGTACTCAGTCGTCAGTCTGATTTATTCCAGGGCATCTCAACCACGAGTTCAACTTAGGTCTGATTATTTTAGATATCAGAAATTGGCTAATAAACATTAGAAAATCAGTATGCATAGTTGGCTACATTAAACTAATGACGCCTGTGGATTACTCCAGAGCATATATGTACCGAATTTCATTGAAATGTGATAATTATGTATAATATGCAAATTAGGTAATTGGTATGCTCGAATTTCAACCTGAAACTAATCAGGTACGTGCTTTGTCTGATTTTCATTAGAATGGGATGATTATTTCCTGAAAAAGAAAAAAATCGGTGGAAATGCCCAAAATTAAATTATTATGCAAATTAAATATTATGGATGAATTTCAGCCCGAAACTATTACATTGTCCAATAGCACCTGTGTTTTTTCCACGTACACGTGTATCCAGGACCACATTTCCCCCCAATAGCAGTACAGTATGTGAAGTTCAATATCACCGACTTTTAAATATAAATGTTAAATAGCAGCTCACTCAAAATGTGGCGCCTTGTCTGTTTCACGGGGGAATTTTGCCCACCTTTCACAACAACTTGAAGAATTCCTTATCTGATACCGGTGGTCAAATTTCCTCATCGAATTTTACTACCCCCATCGTCGAGGAGTCATAGTTTCTGAACACACTGCGACGGTACAGTTACTAATATTACTACTAATAATAACAAGATATTTGTGATTTGTTCTGTATATGCATTTTTGTTTTCTTTGAACCCCAATGGATGGCATGTAAAACTTTCGTTGCGCCGAGAGTATGGTCAATTTAAAGTTTACTTTAAAACAAAAACAAAATAAAATAAACATTTACAATCTTAAAACATGCTTAAAATGCTCAAACTGACAGTTGCAAACCATTTGGCTGAATGTGCGTAGTGAAATGACAGATTTTGTGTTTAAACAGTTTACATGTAATTTAGAGGGCGCATATCGTCTTTCTGAAAAAGACAATGGAACTCAAGTAAATAGAATCACCATGTAAGAATAGGGCTGAGTTCGATTGTAACGCGGGTCCCTACGCGCTTCGCGAGGGTTGCACTCGAACGAGCGGGGTTGCGACGCGAATGACGTCAAATGATGTCATTTGACCTTTAAACTCTACTCGGGCTTTTCCAGCTGATGTACCAAGGTTGCTCGAGTTGTAACTCTACAAAATGTCTGCTAAACAAAAGTGAGTATGGCGAAGTTTTTGATTATGTTTTGTATTTATCAAGAGTTTGAAGTATTATACTTATTAAAAGTTAATCCAATGTGCGTTATTAAAACGACAGTGAGAAGTGTACATGTGTGTACATGTGTGTGTGTGTGTGTGTGTGTGTATATGCATGCATGCATATCGTCTGTTTAGGCAATTTTTTTTTCTTGATATGTTTGATCATTTCTGACACAAGTCATTTTGTCACCTCTGTAGCTACTTGATTGAAAATAGCCAACTGGTGGCTATTTATTCATTTTTTTTTTTTACAAATTTTCAAATACATTTTTACAGATTTTTATTATTTATAAAACTAAAGTAAGACATCATGGGTTGCATGATACACTCAGTTCTTTCAAAATGTTGATGAAATTTAACCAACTGGCAGACATTTTTAAACATAACTAAATCACAAAGTTTTAACAATTTTTCAAGCATGCCAGAGCAGATTTTGCAAAACATCAGACATGATGGTTACTGATGCAAATCGGTTAGTTTTGTGGATGTATTTTTTGTTGTTCATGTATAAAATATTTGTACTCCATC